CCTCACTCCCAAACACGCACTTTTTTCTTTGGACGGGCAGGCCATCCTTGAGCCAGAAAGGTTATCGGGTTCATTGACCCCTTTTCCTTCAACACCAACTCCTTTCCTCAATACAAACTGCAGCTCCGCACTCCCCCTGTCCTAGGATTTCCTAGGACACAACCTGGAGGTGCAGACTTTTGGCCAAAAGCTGCCATTAAGGCAGCAGCCAGCTGCTTGGAATGCAAGTTATGGTTTTACGTCATCCAGGACGAATTTATAGCACATTGGCTAAACACCTTTTACCATAGAGAATCTTTTTACCACCATGATTCTCTTGTCATTGAAGACTCTCAGCCTTCTTCACCACGAACCGTGGTCTTCGCTACGCAAAAAGCTGTACACTCTCTACTATCAGGGATTTCCATACCCTTAATAGTAACCACCATACTTTCAGCACATTGGCTGTTCCAGCGCACTTGTCTTCAGAAAGAGAAAAACCTATTCCCTCATCAATACCATCCAGTCATCCCTTCTTCTTCTTCTTCTTCCGATGGGCATCGATGCTTAGGTGAAGTCGCAGCAAAACGTGCTCCAGGTCCGACACTGTAAGAACAGGATCTTGCACGCACCTTTGAATTGAGGATACCAATCCCTCTCTCTTCGCGTCCTCAATTGCTTGGCAGGATTGTCCCAGTTCTGCATTAACAGTGGTAGATGACTGCGCATCCACTTCAGAAGGACGATCCTTTTCTTCAGGACCTTCCACCACTACCACCTCTTCCTTCTTGGGGCTTTGACTTTTCTCTTTCTTTTTCGTCTTTCCCGAGACGCTTGCCTTGGTGCGCATTCTCGAAGAGGCCTTTTCCCCTCCAGAAACCACCGCATTGGATGATGATCCACCCTTCTCAATGTTCACCGGCATCTTCTTCGGCTTTGGAACCAGAAGAGTGTATGGATCCTCACGTGCAGCAGTTTTCCTCTTCTTTTTGGCCTTTTTCACCTCTTCTTCAACGGCAACATCCGTCTCCGAAGTTCCAACCACCTCCTTTTTGGCAGGAGTATCCTTACTGGACTCCCTTTCTAGGGACCTCTTTTTGTCCCTTTTTGGATCTCTCTCTTCTTCCATATTGGCTCGCTGGAACCATATCCTCAAATCATCAATCCACTCTTCAACCTCCACCAGTGGAATCTCATATGACTTCACTACCTCGTGAAGTTCCAATGAAGACAGCATGCCAGTAGTCCATGAACACCATTCTGCGTCCATTTGGTCAGCATCTCCATTGAACTTTAAAAGTTTAAACACCGGATCCGCTTCCGCGCGGGCCAAATCTGACTTACCATCAGACATGTAAGAAATTGCCTCCATCAGCAATTCTATCATCCTGGTGTCGTCGTCGTACCCCATCAAATCCTCATCATCTTCATCATACCGTTCAGGAGAAATTTCCTTTCCTCCACTTCTTGTACCAGTACTCCTCCGCGGACCATCCCTTGGGGGCGTCCTTGGAGACCTTGGCCTCTGTTCATCCAGCGGATCACCATGTTCAAAGACACACCTGTCCCCATGACGGCACTTCCCAGACTGAGCAAACTGGATACACCTTACACCAGTTGCGTCGTGAGAGAACTTGCAGTCCTCTCCAGCGTAGCAGTGTCTCCCAGCCACATAATATTTGCACCAATACGATTGTAGCACCACATCATCATTGGAATGAATAAATTTGCAGTTCTCACCAAACTTGCAGCGATTGTTCCCTTTTGCAAACCAATAGCAGATACCTTGTCTCCTTTTTGACAAACGTTCTGCTTCAAGACGGTCCATCGAACAATCCCGCACTACATGGACATTGCCATGATCTGGAGAACTACCTTTTTTACCCAAGGTGCTATCAATGTTTGATGCATCAAGAACAGCTGGAAAACCTGGCCTTGGTCCTATCACCTTCATGATTGGTTTCCCACCAGCTCCTGAGCCATTCTGAGACGATCCAAAAACATTGAACGTTTTCAAGAAGGCCTTTCTAGTGCCGATCTTCCGCACCTTTTTGATTGGATGATTCATTGCTCCAACCTTGGGTCCAGATACATTTGAACGACACAACCTCCTATACCCAGCTCTATATCCCTTTTTCCAAAGAGCCATAAGAATTCTAGAGGCAGTAACATTCTCCACCTCTACCCTTTCCGACTGTCCCTCACTTTCCGGAACAAACCCATTCAACCCTTCCATATCTGAAGACCTTTCCATCTTTTTTGACACCACTTCGTCGAGGTAATCTTCAGAGATCCAGGGTAAGTTCCTCTTAGAGGAATAATCGTCACCATTGTCCGGTCCTTCACCAGGATACCCCTTCGTGCTGTCAAAGATCCTACCCGTAGCGCGGTCCTGCATAGAGAAATCCCAGTTGGAAGCGACACGAGAATACACCGACCACAAGAACATTCTGGTGCCAGCCAATCTTGATGAACCACTGGATGTCTCCTCTTCTGGAGAAACTTCTGGCGCTTTGCCATCACTTCCAGTGTCACCAATTGTCTCACTTCCAGCATCTTCGATGGGAATAGGGGATTCATTGATCCCTTGTTCAAATACCGCATCTTGCTGTTCGGGGATCTCCAGCACCATCCCTGAAGGATCCACTTCCTCATCAGCATCGTCGTCCATCCTTTTCCAGAGAACCTCCAATTGATCAGCACAAGTCGCCGCCTGAAGGAACTCCATCATTTGGTTCCTCCCGCGCTGCCAGAGAAATTCTGAATTCACCACCAACCCTTGGCCTCCTAGGGTAAGGAACGGAGCAACCAATTTGGCTACCCTCGCCATAAGTTCAACATGTACTTCCATGCCTGGACTGCGACTCCAATCGTAGGCTATTGCCTCCATAGCAGTTCCAAACTTTTCAGTATTTCTGAATTCCCTTTCCAGGCCAGGAGATAGCAATGCACCCATCACCGAAAGAGGATAATTTCCCACCACCGGCAAGCACGGATCTTCATGGAACGGATGATGCAAATCTCCATAATGTCCTTGATCTCTCCTTTGAAAAAGGAGTCTCCCAGTCTCCAACTGGGCATTCAGTTCATCCACTTGAACCATTTCAGCACATATCCTCTGCGCTGCAGTCGCTATTGCCGGCCAGATGGCACGATCGGTCAAACCGCGACGCGTAACCCAATCAGTTGTTGGCGACTGAATCAGCGTTCGTGGGTCATACGCCATAACCACCAATGTACCATCATCCATTGACTGATCAGCATCGTCCACCAGTGCCAGGTTCAAATCCTGTTCGCTTGCACCTTCGGATGACATGCTAATAACCAAATTTCGATCCATTTTATTGGACCCCTTCTGACAATCCTTTTGCCCCACAGGCAACTTGCCGACAGCAACCTTCCAATAAATCCGATTCAGAAGGCCTTTGGTAAGCAATTGCTGATGGCCCTTCTTCACCGGAAGACCATCCAATATCTTCGTACCATCACCACGGAGTTCATTGCTCCCACCTTCTCCTTCTTTTTGGTCAGTCTCCTCGCCAGGAATTTGTACTGCTCCTTCCAGCGCCGTCTCCTGTCCAGCCACATCTTGCCCAGGTAGAACTTGAGCGCTTTCAGATACGTTCACCTGTCCAGCAACACCTTGCCCAGGTAAAACCTCATCCGTGGAGCCCACCGCCAGCGAACCAACTATAACTGAGCCATCCCTTGCTCTTTTTTGAGACTGCTCAGTTCGACGAGAAGGTTGTGGTAGCGAAAAAACTTGAGAAGTCACTTCTTGGCGGGTCTCCCCCCGCGACGCTTTGTCGCGCTCTTCGCCAAGGTGAACCGATTTTTTCTGCCCATCATTGGAGCTTGAAGAACCAGCAAGTGGAACATTGCCACTTGTCTCAGTTCTTTGTGATTCCCTTTCTCTCAAAAAGGTTTCCCACAGGTGTCGCGCGCTGTTGGTTTCTTCCTCGCTTGAATCACCTGAGGAATCAGCATAGGAGACCAGAGCTCCCGTCTGATCATCATCATCCACCACATCTGCCCACGCTCTGCTGAATGGATACGACAAACCACCACGAGGCTTTACCGGTTCCAGTGGCTTTGGCTTTTCCACCACCTCCGCTGGCTGCGCACGCCGATGTGAGCGAGAGCGTGGCACCAGTCGCACCTGTTTCCGATCCAGCAAGGGCCTTCCCCTTCTAACAGGGTTTGATCTTGACCTACACGCCTTTGTTGGCGGGTTCACCGGTGGCATTCCAACTCCCACCAATCGCAACCTCTGCACGCACAGCGGGGACCTCTGCGCAAGCGTCCAAGCGTCACGGAACTTGCCTGTGTCGAAAATCTCTCGATAAGACCCTCGCGGCATCTCCTTTGTACCAGGACCTTCAGCTTCACGCACCTGAGAGATAGTTCTCACCGCCCCTCTTCCAGCTTCCCGGCTTCCAGAAGATTGCTCCATGCGTACCGATGCGTTGGTAGAAACAGCCACATCCGGCGACATTGGCCGGTAATGGACACCACCCACCAATTGCAGAATTTTGCAGGCCGTCACCTTGTTAACCCCTTTTTCCACCAAATCCTCCACGAAGATATACTCTTGTAGCTCCTTGACATTGGTCACACCAAGCTTGATCATCACGTCACTTACGTGAGGTGTATACACCCACAAGTGTTGGTTGCGAGCCATCCAATTTTCTATTGGCTCTTCTGGATTCTGAAGACGTACAGTGGTAGACTCTGCCACCGAATCCTTTCCCTGTGCATCGAATATTGATTACAATCAATATGGTTCGGCTCATATTGATTTCCGAGTTTTTTCAATATAATAAATTGATTTCGGCGGGAAAAAAAATCAATATTTATGATCAGTTGAACCCAGACCAAAATCAATATATAAAATCAACCTGAGGAAGCGATGAATTTTCAATATATATATATATATCCTACACATGTGCATGTGCAAGATCAGCTCGGGCCAGTCATTTTTGCACACTCTCGCAGATGCAGCTGTTGCCCTTTCGCAAGGGTCAATCGTCCTGGACAGGCTGCACTTGCCTCTGCATCTGGTCGAACCCTTCACGAGTCAGAAGCATGTGCAGCAAAATCCGGTATTTGGGCGCAACCTTTTTGCAAAGGTTGGTGGATTTCACCCCCATGCTGACACTATGTGTTAGTGCAGCAACCCGGCCAACAAAGTCTTCACTCTTAAAGCACCAGTGGCTCCGAGGATTCAGGTGCTTTGCACCTCGGGCCAAATGCATGAGCATGTGATGCTTCATAACGGTGTGGAAAAGAAGCTTCTCATGCTCCTGAGCCCACTGTGAAAGAGCTTCATAGGCTTGCAAAAACTCAGATGCAAACTCCAGATTTTTTACAAAATCATTGTGAGACAAGAACATGTCGGACATGTCCCAGAGCTGGACAAGCTTGTCCATGGCCCTCAAGGCTCTGGACATCTCCCTTTCGCAAGGGATTTTTTCGTCGAGAAGGCCTTCCTGGCACACTTTCGCAAGTGCAGGCAGGAGGTGTTTGCCCTCCGCGCCTTTGATCTCCAGGAAAGGAGGGCTTTGATGAGGCTTTTGCTTGTCAACGAACATCGAGAGCTTGAGGTTGGTCAAGCGGGTTGGCGAGCCCAGTGCCTTGTACTTAGCCTGGATGAGCTCGAAAATCAGTGCTAAACGTTCAGCTGGGGATTTGCAAGCAGTGCCCTTTCCTTTCCCAGAGGCCTTCCCTTTTGCAAGGGAGGGGTACCAGCAAAGGTAGTGCAGAACGGAGCCTAAAAAGTGGCTGTAGACACCCTTACAGAATAGGATGTGTAGTGCATCACCACGGACCATGTGCGACGAGCACCCTGGCAAGCCGAAGAGTGGGTGCTTGCTTCGAGGACTCTCCATCGCCTGCCGGTTCGTGGTGAAGCAGTAGTCCTGCTTACAAATGTCCAAGGTCTTCACAGATTTTTCAGGCTTGTCTGTGCTGAGCTTTGCATCGCACAGCCAACAGGGGCTCGCATTTCGCCAATGCGGGAGGCCGAGGGTGTTGGAAAAAAATTCCTGGTCGCCCTGAATGCTCCAGATAACACCCTTGTAGCCGCCATTTGTCAAGGGCTGGCCCCTGCTCTCGAAAAATGGAGAACCCTTTTTCAAGGGATTGCCCTCCGGGTCATGGGTCGGGTGTTGCCCTTTGCCAAGGGCCTCGAAGCTCCACGCCACCCACTTCATGATGGCATCCCAGGTACCTCCAGCGGAGCAAGACTGGGTTGATGGTTTGGGGTTTCGGTCTTGGGGCCTGGGGTCAAGGTTTATAGGGTTTTAAGATTGTAGGGTTTAGGGATCGGCATCAAGATATTTGCATCCCAGGTACCTGCAGTGGAGCAAGACTTCGGGAAGCATGCCAGCATGAAGTGAGACAGCAAAGAAGAAAGGCCACACAACAAAGACCCAAAGGACCAGATCATGAGCGAATCTCGGGACTGGAACTCGGCAGCATCACCGTGCACGAAAAGTGGCACAGTCTTCTCCTTCCAGCCAGGCCCCTTTAACAAGGGGTGTTGTTTCAGCCTGTCGTCACCCGTCTTCTCTGCAAGACTCCAGAACTTTTCCAAATTCGCCAAGCCGAAGAGGTCGGGGAACATGTCGTAGTCGTCGAGAGACGAGAAAAGAACATGTGGCAGGAAAACTGTGGCATCGACCTGCACAGTTTTGCTGGTCTTCGGGTCTACTGCAGGAACCGAGACCACGTTGCCCTTTGTCAAGGGCATGTCCTTGCAGAACCGGGTCATCAAATCGCGGTGGCAGTTGCCAGGACTTGACCCATAGGCCCCGGTCTTGGCCATGGCTGCCAGCTCCTCGTGCTGAGCTCCATCAAGCACAGCCTGCATAGCCAGCCACTGCAGCATGGTGGCCGAGAGCTTGCCATGGCTCCAGAGTGCCAGCAGTGCACCTGCCAAAGCACTGTGTGTTGGCTGCTCACCTTTCTCAAGGTGGGACTGCTCGGCTCTTCCAGCTTCTATGTCCAGCTGCCATCCACGAAGCCGTTTGGCACCGACCGGCGGCATGAAATTCCCTTGCAAAAGGGATCTTCTTGTAAAAGGAACACGGTTTGAACCAAAGGGGCTTGCACATGGCATAGTCCTGACAGCTGGGGGTTTCGAATGACTAAAAAAAAGGTTTTGGGCTCAGTGTCGTGGATTGGTTGGGACTAGCCTCAGCCCGAAGCCCTAAACCCTAGGAGGGCTAAAGCCTTATATGATAAGATGTCAGTCCATCAAGCCAACAAGCTAAAACCCTAAGCCCCAAACCCTAAAAGTCTACCCCCAAAACCTCAACCCTACACCCCACCCTAAACTCTAGAGCCAAAGTCCTCAAGCCTAAAGTCCTTAAACCCTCAGCCCTACCTCCAACTCCCAACCCAAAAGCCCCCCCGAGCCAGCCTAAACCTGAAACTCCTGAAAATGATTCCACCCCCCCCGGCAGCAGGTACTGTTTATTTTTGGGTCTGCCAATGGCTCGATCTGGCAGAGTGTCAAAAACACTGTACAGCTGGCTTGCATACATCCCAAGCCCAAAGGCCTAAAGGGTTTGGGTCTAGGATTATATAGGGTCTAGGGCTTACGGTTTACTCCCAAGCCCTAGAGCTTGAAGGGTTGGGTCAGGCTTACAGGGTTGTTGGTTAAGGGTCTACCATAGCAGCTATAGCAAGCCATGCAGCAGAGCTCAAGGCCCTTTTTCAAGGGCTTAGGGCCTGTTGCAAGGTCACTTCGCCCCGCTTGCCCTCGAGGATGCTTTGCTGGAGAGACTCATGATCTCCCTGACCTCATCCTTGGCCTCCTTGACCACAGCTGCCGAGCCGAGCATGGCCTTCTTCAATTCCTGCACATCCACATTCGGGTCGGCGATGTGCTGCTTCATCTGCTGCATCTCCCTCTCCAAGGACTTGAGGATGGCATTGGCTTCGCTGATGTGGCCCTGCGAAACCCACTGGGAGCCCTTGGCCTTTGTCAAGGCCTCTTCCAGGTTGCTTGTGGTCGACGAGATGAGGTCTCTCATCTTGCGAGCCTTTGCCAAGGCCTCTTTGGCCTGCTCCTCCTTTGTGGGGGGGTCGTCGGCCTGGCCATCCTCGAGAGCCAAGGCCCTAGCCTTGGCCTTGGCCTTGGTCTTGGCCTTGGCAGTCGCCTTGCCGTGCCCTTTTGCAAAGGAAGTCTCGCCCTGGTCGGCACTTCCCTTGCCGAGACCCTTTGACAAGGACACCTTGCGAAGAAAGGCACCTCCCAAGGCATCCTCCCAGCTTTTCTCGTCTGCGAGCTGCTCCTCTTTGACTCTTTCCCAAGAGGACCGGTCGGAGACACTGTGGCGGCCCACGAAGTCTTGAGTGTCCTTGTACTCGTAGAGCCCTGGGGTTGTCGGGTCTTCTCGCCAGATGAGCCTCCCGGACTCGATGAGCATGCCCTGCTCCGCCTCGGTCCATTTGCCATCGACCTGCTTCTGCGAGAGCCACTTGTCCTTTCTCTCAAGGGTACTCTTTGCCTCGCGGCTGTGTTTCTCAACAGCATAGGTTGGGCTCTTTCGCAAGAACCAGGACAAGATGGCCTCGCCCTTTTCTTTCTTGCTCAGCTGCTCGTGCTCACCCTTTTCCGAGGGGTTGTTGTTGAGGTAGGTCTTGTGCTTCTGCCACAGGCCCTGCTTCTCGGCGGGGGTGACGACCTGTCCCAAGGCCTCTGTGGCTGCCTCGACATCCTCGGGATTCTCGGCAGCAATGGCGGCGACCTTCTCCTTGAGGGACATCTCCTTGAGGGCTTGCAGCTTCTCATCGGTGAGGCCTGCCCCCTTTGCCAAGGAGGCCTTCTTTCTCAAGGGCTCCAAGCCCTCTTCCGAGGGCGAACCGCTTGGTCGCTTCTTGGCTTCGGTACCCTTTGGCAAGGGTGCATCTTCGGCTGCTGCTGGCTTCTTCATCTTAGGTGCCATGGCAATGAAAGGATATAGAGATCAATGAGGTACAATAGGCTTGACACGGGATGCTGCATGTTCTCACGAAGTGCTCCCTCCCCCCCGTCTCTGTCCCAGCTGCACCTCTACTCTCACCAGTCCTCCTTTGCATCTGTTGTTTGCTTTCAGGTTTAGGGTTTAGGGTTGAGGGTTTAGGGCAAAGCTGCCCCGGTGGAACTCTAAAACGTTCAGGGTAGCCTGAAACACTATATAAAGGGTTTTAGAGTTGAGGGTTTTGGGTTTAGGGTTTAGGGTTCAGGGCAAGGCTGCCCCTCTCAAACTCTAAAACCTTCAGGGTTGCCGGAAACACTAAAGGGTTTTAGGGTTTGGAGTCGAGGGTTTTGGGCTTAGGATTCAGGGTTTAGGGTTCAGGGCAAGGCTGCCCCTCTAAAACTCTACAACCTTCAGGGTTGCCGGAACCACTAAAGGGTTTTAGGGTTTAGGGTTGAGGGCTTAGGGCTTAGGGTTTAGGATTTAGGGTTTAGGGTTCAGGGCAAGGCTGCCCTTTAAACCCTAAATCCTAAACCCTAAACCCTAAAACTTCCCTCGGGTTGGCGCTTTAAAAGTACCTCCTCTATAATCAGTATTTGGAAAACAGATGTTTCTATTTTATTCGCTTATTTTTGTCAGGTGTTTTCCAATATTTTTTTAACCCTTAACACTGAACCCTAAACCCTAAACCCTAAACCCTAAACACTCCATCAGAAATATAAAATTCTAAAACTCGAAAACCTTCAGGGTTGCCGGAAACACTAAAGGGTTTTAGGGTTTAGGGTTGAGGTCTTAGGGCGTAGGGTTTAGGATTTAGGGTTTAGGGTTCAGGCTGCCCCTTAAACCCTAAGCCCTAAGCCCTAAACCCTAAACTTCCCTCGGGTTGGCGCTTTAAAAGTACCTCCTCTATAATCAGTATTTGGAAAATAGATGTTTCTATTTTATTCGCATATTTTTGTCAGGTGTTTTCCAATATTTTTTAACCCTAAACACTAAACCCTAAACCCTAAACCCTAAACCCTAAACCCTAAACCCTAAACCCTAAACACTCAATCAGAAATATAAATTCTAAAACTCGAAAACCTTCAGGGTTGCCGGAAACACTAAAGGGTTTTAGGGTTTAGGGTTGACGGCTTAGGGCTTAGGGTTTAGGATTTAGGGTTTAGGGTTCAGGGCACGGCTGCTCCTCTAAAACTCTAAAACCTTCGGGGTTGCCGGAAGCACTAAAGGGTTTTATAGGGTTTAGGGTTGAGGACTTAGGGCTTAGGGTTTAGAATTTAGGGTTTAGGGTTTAGGGCAAGGCTGCCCCGCGGAAACTCTAAAACCTTCAGGGCTGGCTGAAACACTAGGATTGCCCTTAAAACCCTGTGAAAAATATACCTGGCTCCTCTGAAACCCAGCAAGGGAACGTAAAAAATGTCCCAAGGGCCTACCGAACCTAAACGCCTTCAACCCTCAACCCCAAACCGAAAACCCGAAACATCAAACCGTAGGCCCTAGAACTGTCAAACCTTCAACCGTACTAAGTGCCTGCAGCACCTCCCCTTAAGGCCGAAGCCCCAAGTCCCAAAACCCTCTGCCCTCCCCCCCACCCGTCCCTCCCAATCCAGCAGTCTCCTGTGGGCAGGTGTGCTGCATGTCATGCACACCCTAAACCCTAAACCCTAAACCCTCAACCCTATACCTTATACGGTTTAGGGTTTAGGGTTTAGGGTTGAGACTGTATATGTGTGTGTGCTCTATACATAATATAGCACGCCATATCTCGATCTATAAATATCTGTATGTACATATAGACATAGAGTATATGTATATAAATAAATATATATATATATATATTTATATTTATATTTATATTTATATTTATATTTATTTATATCATTTAGATAACTACATATATATATGTATATAAATCTAAACAAAAAACTTTCCCTTTGACAAGGGCAGCAGGGGAGAGAGAGAGAGAGAGAGACAGACACGGACAGAGACACAGACACACAGACAGAGAGACACACACACACACACACCTTGCCCTTTCACAAGGGCTGGGCGGGGCCTTGGCCACTTGAAGGGTCCGGTTGCGGTTTAGGGTTTAGGGATTCCAGCCTAAACCCTAAACCCAAATCCTGAACACCCCAAACAGCCTAAACACCGCAAACATCCCACGCCTAAACCCAAAATCCAAATCGTAAACACACTAAGCAGCCTAAACGCCGTAAGCGCCCCAAGCTCTGAACCCTAAACACCGTAAACCCGAAACCCTAAATCCTAAACTCTGAACCCTGAACCCTGAACCCTGAACCCTAAACCACCACGAAAACCAAAGTAATCACGTAAAAAAAGACACACATGATGAAATATGACGAAACATGATGAAATATGATGAAATCCTGTATTTTCATCATATTTCATCATATTTCATCATGTTTCATCATGTTTCATCATGTTTCATCATGTTTCATCATGTTTCATCATGTTTCATCATGTTTCATCATGTGTGTGTGTGTGTTTTTTTTTACGTGTTTTTTTGGGGTGCTACTGCAGTATCCACAATCATACAACAGACCCTCAACCTGAACTTCAAAAGGGACCTTTTGGGTTTGGGGTTTGGGGTCTGGGTTTAGGATTTAGGGTTTAGGGCTTTCAGTGTTGGGTGCTTTGAGGGTGGGTTTCGGGTCGAGGGTTGCAGTGCTTCAGGGTTTGGGGTGTCGGTGTAATCCTTTCGGTAACCCTGATCCCCAAACCCTCAAACGTAAACCCTGCCCTACACCCTTTTGTTTTGGGGTTTGGTTTTAGGGTTTGGGGTCTGGGGTCTGGGGTTTAGGGTTTAGGGTGTAGGGTTTAGGGTTTAGGGCTTTCACTGTTGGATGCTTTGAGGGTGGGTTTCGGGTCGAGGGTTGCAGTGCTTCAGGGTTTGGGGTGTGGGTGTCATCCTTTTCGGGAACCCTGATCCCCAAACCCTCAAACGTAAACCCTGCCCTAAACCCTTCTGTTTTGGGGTTTGGTTTTAGGGTTTGGGGTTTGGGGTCTGGGGTTTAGGGTTTAGGGCTTTCAGTGTTGGATGCTTTGAGGGTGAGTTTCGGGTCGAGGGTTGCAGTGCTTCAGGTTTGGGGTGTCGGTCTAATCCTTTCGGGAACCCTGATCCCCAAACCCTCAAACGTAAACCCTGCCCTAAACCCTTCTGTTTTGGGGCTCGCGGTTTAGGGTTCGGGGCGTTGGGTTCTAGGGTTTGGGCTTGAGGGTTCCTGCATGAGCCCCAGGCCCCAAAACAGCAGAAGACAAAACCCAGAACCCTTGAGTCCTCAAAACCCTGAGACCCTAAACCCCTAAACTCCTGAACCCTAAACCCCTAACCCGAAAACCCAACACCCAAACCCTAGAACCTTGAACTCTACACCCCACCCCAAACCCTAAACCCTACAGCCTAAACCCTATACCCTACATCCAGACGATGTCCATCTTTTGGCGGGCTCGGTCGCTGCTCAACTGAGCTAAGCTCAGGGTGGACCTAGTATGCCCAGGAATGCTGTGCCCACCCGCTTATATAATACAAAAACCTATACCCTAGACCCTAAAGCCTAAACCCCTAAACCCCTAAACCCCTAAACCCCTAAACCCCTAAACCCCTAAATCCTACACCCTAAACCCTAAACCCCAAACCCTAGATATGCTTTATATATTTTAAAAAACCGAAAACGTACGGCACATCATATCCCCTTTCATGCAAAGGAGGCTACTTTCCCTTTTAAAGGGGCGCCCAAAAGAAAACTACCACCCCTTCTTCCAGGGGAGACTACTTCCCCTTTTCAAGGGGTGCTCAAAAGAATACTACTACCCCTTTTTCAAGGGGGCTGGAGAAGCTCCTCGACCACGGCAGTCAGGTCGGTGTACTTCGTCCCGGTCCACCAGGAGTGCCTCATGTGCTTGGTGGTGATGGGGTACAGCTCCATGCCCATCCTCGAGGCCTCCCGGCAGATCTCTTGGTTGTCGTCCACCAACATCTTCAGCCCTTTTGCAAGGGCACTGTGGACCTTGCCACCTGAGCCAGTTCGCTGGGTCACCACCTCCCAGCCCTCCAGCGTCCCGGGAAAGGCAGCCCTCAGTGGTGCCAGCACTTGCTGCAGCAGTCTCTCCGTCCTGGGCTGGTTCCCGGTTTAGGGTTTAAGGGTTCTGGGTTTATGGGCTACTAGGGTGGTGTATTATATGGAGGACCCATAGAATAGGAGTACAAAACGGCTTCCACAGTAAGACCAGTCTCGACCTCTGTCGCTTTCTGCCAGTCATCGAAATGACCCAAACTCGGTAGCGATGGCAGGCCAGCAGCTTCTTGAAGGCGGTCTTCTCCTTGTCCTGCAGTACAGCAGACCCCTAGACCCAGGCCCCTAAACCCTAGACCCTAAACCCTAAACCCTAAAGCCAAACCCTAAACTCTAACGCCTAAACCCCAAACCCCAAACCCCAAACCCTAAACCCTAAACTCTAAACCCTAAAGCCTAAACCCTTAACCCTTAACCCTAAACCCTAACCCCTACACAGAAAACAAAAAAGCATTGCTGGTTCAAGTGTCAGGTCCCTGATGTAGGTTTCATTGCCGAACTGCAAGACGTTGTGCCAGTCAATACAGATCCCCTTTTGCAAGGGGTTGGCAATGGCCACGGTTACAGGGATGTGCTGCTCCGGGTTCAGCAGCTCCAGACCCTCTTCCGAGGGTGCCAGTGGCCCAGAGGAAAGAGAAGAAGCATCATCTGTATCCATCCTCCAGGGTTAGGGTTCGGGGTTTAGGGTTCCGGGCTTAGGGTTCAAGGTTAACCCTACACCCTCAACCCTCAACCCTCAACCCTCAACCCTCAACCCTAAACCCTAAACCCTAAACCCTAAACCCTAAACCCTAAACCCTAGCTAAACTTGAGGGTTGAGGGTTAAGGGTTTAAGGTTTGGGAGGAGGGGTTTAAGGTTCAGGTTTGGACAGGCCAGCATGCCTCTTAGGAGGGGCCTTGGCCGGGATGGCCTTTGCAGGGGCCTTGCCTGGAGGCGACTTGTTGGGCGGGCAGGCCTTGCCGGTAGCCCTGGGTGGGGGGTCTTTGGCGATGGCCTTCGGCATGCCCAGACTGACGGCGGCCTTGGGCATCAAACCCTTTGGCAAGGGTGGTTGGGCGGGGCTTTGCTGGCTGAGTCGCCTCTGGCTGAGCTGCCTGGGCTGGCTGGGCTGCCTGGGCTGGCTGGGCTGTCTGGGCTGGCTGGGCTGGCCCTTGCCTTTACCCTTTTGCAAGGGTGCTTGCCCACCAACATGCTGCCAGCCGTGGTCTCGTGTCCAGGTCCACTCACGATCGTCCCGGGATCGTGCTCGCTCCTCTCTGTGCTCCCGCCGGGCCGGGAAGTCCTACAGGGAGTTTTTAGGGTTTAGGGTCTAGGGCTTAGGGGTTCAGGGCTGAGGAGCCAACCCTAAAACCCTACAGGCCCTTAAACAGTAGAACACATAAACCCTCCAACCCAACACCCTAAAACCCTAAAACAAAACAAAAAGCAACAACCCTGGAACCCTGAAACCCTGAATCCCTTTTGCAAGGGAGAAGGGCCCCGTGCAGCCTCCCACCGCCAGTCGCGGTCGGTCCACCAGCTGTTCCACCAGTGCCAGACGTCGTTCTCCAACTGGTCGGCAGCCTGGTCTCGCCTCCTCTCCTGCCTGGCTCGGCTCGTCGTGCCCGTGCCTGCAGGTCGGCCTTGCCGGTTCTGACCAGGGCCAGCACGGTGAGGCTCGCGAGCGCCAGACACGGCGCGCCCTTGCGAAAGGGCAGTCCCTTTCACAAGGGACTCGAGGAGGCACCCCTTTTGCAAGGGAGACTTATATATATATATATATTTCATGTGTCTCTCTCTTCTGCTAGAACATGGAACATCTACGAGGTTAAGGGTTTAGGATTTAGGGGTTACGGGGCTCTAGGGTTTAGGGTCAAGGGTTCAGGTGGCTTTAGCGTTTTCGGTCAGGCTGTCGGGTCTAGGCTATAGGTTCAGGGTGTCGGCTTCAGGGTTTCGGATCCTAAGATCTGCTATTGAACCTCTGGGGTTCAGGTGTTGCATCTATATACAATATTTCTGTGCATGTACTTGGGCTTTAAGGTTGAGGCTTTCGGTTTACTGTAAGGTTTAAGGGGCTAGGCTCGGGTCCCCTTCCCCCTTTCGTGAGCCTGGTCGGGCGCGGGAGAACAGAATCAGATTAGGGTTTGGGGTTTAGGGCTTGAGGTTTAGGGTTTAAGGTTCCGGGGGCAGAAATATACATATATGGGAGACTATTGAAAGCCTAGGGTAGGGTTTATGAGGATCTGCAGTTTAAGGTTCGGGGTTCAGGCAGCTTAGGTTTTCGGGCTCAGGGTTTCGGGTCTCGGGTATAGGGCTCAGGATTAGAGATCGATCAATACTCAAACCCTCAATCCGAAACCCTCCACCGACTGCCTCAATGTCAGGGTTTCGGGCTCAGGGTTTCGGGTCTCGGGTGTAGGGCTCAGGATTAGAGACCCTAAGCCCTCAACCCCAAACCATCAACTGCCTGAATCTCAAGACCCTAAGCCCTCGATCAATACTCCAAGCCCTCAATCCGAACCCTCCACCAACTGAACCCTTGGGCGAGGGAGTGCATGGTTTGGGGCTGAACCTCGGGGCAAGGGTTTAGGGTGTAGAGGAGGGTCCAGTTTCGGGTTTTGCTTGAATTTTTTTGGGGGGTTGAAGCTTTAGGGAGTTCAGGGTTCAGTGGTGGGGTCCCGCCGCACACACACACACGCACCCAGACAGACAGACAGACAGACAGAGATACAGAGAGAGCGGGCCTTTTGCAAGGCCGAGGTGGGATATCAAAAATCATAACCCCCTAAATCCTAAACCCTAAACCCTAAGCCCTAAACCCTCAACCCTCAGCCCTCAGCCCTAAACCCACCCTAAATCCTAAACCCTAAGCCCTTGGCCCTAAGGCTTAAACCCTAAACCCGAAACCTATTCCCTCAGCCTCGAATTTTGATTACAATCAATATTTTATATGTATATATATGTATATAAGACTATTATACACATTTCAGTTTTGCACACATATATATATATATATATCATATCACATATTTGCAAAAGAAACGATACATACATATGTGTGTGTGTGTGTGTCATGGGTGTAACATGTCCCAACACACCTGCCCATTGCCGTCTGAACAAAACTGCATAAGCCACAGCAAGCATCACAAAACCGTTTGTGGGTGTAACATGTCCCAACACACCTGCCCATTCCGTCTGAACAAAACTGCACGAGCCACAGCAAACATCGCGAAACCGTTTTGCCACGAAGCTGCACAATCTGAAAGTGCTGCAGGGTAGAGAGACTTTGCAAGCCCTTTTGCAAGGGGTCTCGAGATCTACAGGCCATCACCCATACTCCTTCAAAAGAGATGCCTTGAGCTGCAGAGCCTCGGCCTTGGTGAGGTGCTCCGTTTTCAAGGCAGACAGCAGTCGCTTCGCGATCTGCTTGAAGTGACAGCTCCGGGCCTGCGAGATCTCCACCACCAGATGGGCCTTGTCGTCACCTTCCTTCTTCCCAGTGATGTACACCCGACGAGGCGAGGCAGCATTCACCTGGTACAGCTTCGCCCAAGGCTTTCGGACCTTTTTCGAGGTCCCGGCCAGGGAAGCTACAGGTCGCTTCATCGCTTTGCCCTTTGGCAAGGGCTGCCTGCTGTAGCCAAGCTTCTCGCGAACCATCTCTCCAGGCATCGTGCTGGGGGGCTCGATGGAGTCGCCTCCACCAGAGTCTGCCTTTTGCAAGGCTCGAGCCCTGTGCCCAGGTCGCAAAAGGCTCCTGGGAGCCAGGTCCCGGGATCCAGAAGGCTTCTCTGGACTGGCCAGCATCTTCGGAAAGCCATCATCGTCTTCGGAAACAGCCCTGGTAAGCTTCCTCGATGTCACCTTCACAGAGCATGTGCTTCGGGCACCCTTTGCCGAGGACGCTGCCTTTTTCGAGGCTGCACTTGTCGTCTGGGCCTTTTCCAAGGGCTCGTCATCGAAGGTCACCATCTGCAGGACATCCATCAGTCTGGCATACTCCACCCCACTAAGCTTGCAGATGGCATTGCCGGCCTTTGGGTCCCGGGCGAGCTTTCGCACATGGTTAAGCAGCACCACCACCCTCTCCGCTCGCAGCTGCACCCAAGTCGAGCCATTGAAACGAGTCTTGTTGAGGTCCGGCTTGGTGGTGAGGAGCTGCACAAGGCCCTGTCGCAAGGGCAAGGGGTGCACTTCTGCCTTTGAGCAAAGGCCTAGCAACCCTTCTACAAGGGGCAGGCAGTGCATGAGGGCTTTCCAGTCCACCCCAGAGTTCCGGGACAATGTCTCGTAGCCCCTGAAGTCACGGACGATGTCTGTGTGCTGTTCCAAGCACTTGAAAACAGCACCACTCTCCAGCATGGTCTTGCTTCTGTGTCTTGCACCACCTCTGGCCTTTGCCATGCAATGCCTTTCACAAGGCAAACCCCTTTCGCAAGGGAAGTTGCAGCGATCTAACAGTCGGGTTCGAGGTCAGGTTCGAGCAAAATACTACCTTGCGAGGACGGCAGGCCAAGCGATCATGCCATGACCCCCATGCTTGTACAAACAGACATGCCATGCCACATGCATGCTTGCAAAAGACATGAGCCCTTGCAGCCATGACAGAACCCTTGTTTCCACACAAAAAACACCCAACAAAAATCAATATGAAAACCAAGCTAAACGACCCAAAAAATCAATATATGACCAGAAGCAAAAATCAATATGTCCAACACAATGAAATCAATATGGCTCATATTGATTTAATCAACACAAGACACAAAAATCAATATCAATACAAAAACCCTCCCATATATTGATTGTAATCAATATTCGAGGCTCAGGGTTTGTACATCTCCATCTGCTCCATCCAGCGTATCAACCTCACCTGCTTTCTTTGACACATTGGTCATTTGCAACGCTTGTGGTGCTGAGGAGGATGAAGATTCAGCTCCCCCACTTGCAGGTGGCTGAAAAGTACTCCTGTCCGAAATCTCCAATCCTCTCTCTTTTTCAAACCGGACCTGATTGGCCACATTTGCCACATGTTTCAGGTGCGCCAGCCGCTCATCTGTCATCTCGTCGTGGGAAAATCTGCAAGTATTGAACCGCTTACGGCACTGTCCTCTGAGGTAATAATCGAAACAGCAATGGTGGAACCCTGCGTCCCGTAGTGCCTTCCTGGAAGCATTGTCCCAAGCTTTGCCGGGTTCCCAAGTCCCTTCCAATACTGCTTCATCGTCGTGAAGATACCTGCATGAACTCCCAAACTTGCAACCACCTTGATTGTAATACAGACACAGCTGCCTTTTTGGCTCACCCAACGTAGGCTCACCCTTTGATGCACCTTTACCAAAGTTGTACTTGGCTCTGAAGGCTGAATCCTCCCGCTCCTGCTGTGCCTCATCAACTGTGCCTTCCTCTGTAGGAGGGTCACCAATGTTCCCATCCTCATCTCCAGCTTTTTGGCTGTTCTTTGGCTCAGTTGGTCCTCCTCCTGGCCAACCTTCACCATAACGACGATGTTCATAGGAACACTCATCTCCATTGCGACACCTTCCCTGATTGAAGAACTTGCACAGCTTGCTGTATCCTGGTGACACAGTTCTTGGCGTCATGTGAGCCTTCTTATACTGATCTGGATCCATGTAGGCTTCCATTGGCTTGTTTTCCCTCTTACTCATAACTTCAACTGCACCATCAAGCTCCTGCAAAAACCGCTTGGTATCCAGCCAAAGCGCATTCCAAAGTTCATCTTTGCCTTGGCTTAGCAACATTGCCACCGCTTCACCCACGACTGGTCCACTAAATCTCCTTTTCTTACGTGCCAGTTCGTAGAGCGCGTTGTGGTACTGCTTTCGGGAAAAGGTGATTGTCTTTTCCAAACCTGCACATTCTGTACCATCGGGCTTCCACTTTTCATCGCACCGGATATTGTAGGCTACTCGAGCTTCTTCTTCCGCTAACGCAGGATCTGCCACAAACTCTCTAACCTCGTCCATCCGACGACTCAGCAGCATCCCGGTGATCTTGCTCAAGTAATCATTTTCAGTTTTCCCACTCTCCAGGAGTGCTCTATAAATTTTCTCTCCACAGAGCTGCTTCTGCACGGCTTCCTCTTGTTCCTCAGAAGATAATCCTGGATCAGCAAACCACTCGCGGGACTGCCATTCTTCCGACTTCCAGTCCCATTGACCGTCGGAACCTTGGTACCATTGACCAGCGTACCATGAATCTGTCCACCACGTACCCCAGCCGCTGTCTTTCCATTTGCGCAGCGTCGAAGAGGAGTCCTCCTCTTCCCAGGTGTATCCAAGGCTCCCTCTTTGGGCACTTTCTTCGTTGGTTCTTCAGAAACCGGAATTGTTTCTTCGGCTCCCGGAACGTCCCTTGTTTCCACCTTGGGGGCAAGCTGCTTGTCCTGCTCCACGAGTCCCACAAGCTCATCCACCTTGTGCTCCTGGAGCTCAGGACCATCCTCTTTTCCAGCCAATGGCTTTGCCTCATCTGTTACAGTTCGCTCGGTGTCGACTTCCGGCAAGCTTTCAGACGGCAATACTTCCCCCTTCCTGGGAGTGGACCCACCATTGGAGTCTTTTGTCAAACCTTCTGCAGCAGGCAAATTTTCTTCCACTGCAGGGCTGTTGGATTGGTCATCCGCGGTAGGCACATTTTCTTCCACCGCAGGCTCCTTTGGCTCCATGGTTTCCAAAAGAGAATCACCACTATCGTTGACCACAGCTGCCGCATTGGCTCCGGTGTAGCCTTCGTCATTCTGTTCCTCGACACCAACTTCAAGCTGCACT